ATGATGATATCCCCAGAACAAGGGAAATTCTTAAGTTTTTTGGTTCGAGCCATAGGAGCACGCCGTTGTTTGGAAATTGGAACTTTTACTGGTTATAGTTCCGTTTGTATAGCAGCAGGTATGAAGGAGGGTACTGAATCGATACTTTATTGTTTGGAATGCAACGAAAGTTATGCCAGGACGGCACAGAGAGAGTGGACAAATGCAGGTTTACAAGATAGAATAAGCCTTGTGTTGGAAGATGCCACGGAAATTTCGCAAAAGTTGATCGTTGAGAAAGAGGGCTGGTTTGATTTTATATTCATTGATGCGGAAAAGGAAAAGTATAGAGAATACTATGAAACAGCGTTGGCATTGCTTAGAGTGGGTGGTGTTTTATGTATCGATGATACTTGTTGGAGTGGTAGAGTTGTGGATGAGCAGTATCAGGATCCCGAAACATTGAGTATTAGAGAACTTCTTGGCTTTATGCAAAAAGATTCCAGAGTATTTGCTTGTCCCATTCCTATTTTTGATGGAATGGTGGTGGCTGTTAAGCTTTTTACAACGAGACACTCGGACAATTTTCAAGTCTTACTTTCTCGGAAGATTATAGATATTGAAGGAAACATTGCGGTTGGCAAAACTTGTCTGGTTCGAAGTTTGTTTCCCACATTAGAAACTCAAGGAATGACTCCCTGTGTATTTGAAGAAGATCCCAATCATACTTTTCTTTCAGCATTTTATCAGAAGCCTGAAATTTTTGGGTTTTCGTTTCAAATGTACATGTTAAAACTGGCACAGCAAGTAGTGATAAAAGCACAACATTATTTACTTGAGGATACCAACAATGTTGGACTCATCGATCGTTCGATATGGGGTAATAGAGTTTTTGCAGACTGTAATCATCACTTGGGTAACTTCAGTCAGGAAGAATACGGAATCTATAAATCTGTTTATAACGAAACAGAGTTTCAACCAGATTATCTTATTTATTTGGATGCTTCTCCATCAGTTTGTTTAGAAAGAGCAAAGAAACGTGGTCGATCAGCTGAACAAGAACTGCAACTTTCTTATTTAGAAGCCCTCGACACTTTTCATTTCCAACATCTCATTTCTACTATATGTGAAGGCCGAGCGAAAGTATTGGTTTTCAATTGCCATATGTTCTGCACAGCGGAACAAGTGCTTGACAAAATAAGAGAAAGAGAAGAAACTCGATGCTGTAAACTTATATGGAATAACCAATCAAATGAAAAAACAAAATTCCTCTGGTTTCTTCATTTATCTGAGGATTGTTATCACAAAATGGCTAAGGGTGCTACTAGCGAAGAGTGGTTTGGTTTACTACGTTCCTGGAATCTTTCTCAAAATACCGAAATAACGGATATTTGCCTTCCTTGGATCTCGAGTGAGGATCAAGTTCCTTTTTATCAGTATCAAGCGTTTAAGCGATTGGTTTGTTTTGCTCTCTCAGCAAATATAACCATCCAATTCTATAAAGACGGAACGTGATAGAAAGAGTTGCGAAGAGAAAAATTTTCCTGTATATGAAGCGACTTCTCAGAAACAAAGAGCGCAATTTATAGAAGAAAGAAATCCCCCATGGATGACAAATATTAACCAGTAAAAAAATCTTAGGCTCTACTCTCTTAAGGGTGGCGACAGGAAAATAATCAGAGCGAAAATAGTAAGTAACCCAATGATGGGACCGGTATAACCACCAAAGTCCTTCAGTGCTTATCCATATACTTAGCTCTCCAGTAAAAATAGGATACTTACGGATTCAGAAGCTGCAATCCAGTGGGTCACTGGAAGGAGTTGTTCGTGAACGTGGACTATTCCTGTAGGCACTAGGTTGAAGGTCATACTATCCATGCTTCAGTATAACGAAGAAGACCCGCTTGCATTGTCGCAGCCTTACCACGGAGACATCAGACTTCCTCTAGATCTAGTTCCACGAAGCGAACGTGGAGACCTTCCTAGAGATCTTTTTGATTCCTGTTTAAGAACGTTCCTTGTAAAAATGCCACCTTGAGTAGCCAAGGGAGTTGTTGCCACAAAAGCAGCAAACATGGACATACTGAATTACCACAAGTAGATTGGTTCAATTCCTCTCCTTGTGGGCCAAGGCCATCATCACCCAACTTGGAATCTGATCGAGATTGAAAAACTGCTAACCTTTCATCTCCACTTCCTTCCCTCATTTCATCCATTGAAGAAATCCTCTCCATTGTTTTTCCATAAACTATGTTGGGTTTTTTGAGTAACCACTTAGTACTTTGTAGATCCCGACTACCTTTACAGAACAACAAGTTTACGGTTAGTGAAGTTGACCTTGGTCCTGTTGTTTTTGTTCTCACACGTCCCAAGTCAGCGAAACGTGTTGGCGGAGCAACCTATGTTGCAAGACCTTGTATGCTTTTGAATATATTACCCGTACAAGAAGGTGTAAAACATCTTACCCATATCGCACCTATGTATCTCTCGTCTGAATCGGTAAGTGAAAGGAGTTACTTTTCCAACTTCCATTGTTGAGCTACAAAACTCTTCTAGGGTGGTATGGTTGTCCAAGAAGGTGGTTATTTAGCTGTTTTATTGGGCGTCTTGTTTCCAGTTGCTTTTCTCATCATTCTTTATATTCAGTCGGAAGCAAGGAACGCAGGGATGAGGGAATAGAAAAGATATGTAAAACCCCTTCTTTTCAATAAAATGAGGTATTTGCTTTTTGTCCAGTAACATTGTCATCCATCAGCTCTTATGAGAGGGGGAATGGAAGGATCCGACGATGCCTAGTTCAAAGCGATACGCTCTTATGTCACCATGTTTAGTCTTTTGGATGCCGCTTGGAAACAACTTTATCAAGTTCAACAACATACCACTATTTTGTTAGGCCCATCAAATGCCGGCAAGACGACAATACTTGAAAGGCTAAAGATCCTTTTTGCTGAAACTGAGAACCACAAACAACTGCCCAAGGTTCGGCCGACAATTGGTCTCAACGTAGCCAACTTGAAAGTCTCTTCTACTTACTTTCTTCTTTGGGATTTTGGAGGAAAGGAATCGTTGAGACCTATCTGGGAAAAGTATGTAACCGACGCTGAAACGGTCGTTTATGTGATAGACTCTTCTTCAGAAGAGACTGTAAACGATTCCAAGAAACTTCTTAAAGAGTTGCTTGAACGTACAGATCTAGTAAAAGTCCCGTTTCTAATTTATGTGAACAAGCAAGATCTTCCTGGAGCTCTATCACTCCTCCAAGTGGTAGACAAGCTTGACCTACCGTTCGAAGTGGATAGATTACGTTGGTTCCAAAACTGTTCTGCAATTCAAGGTTACGGTATTAAGGAAGGTTTTGAGTGGCTTGAACGACATTTAGTGGCAAAACCTCAAAAGCTATCCGATCATAATATAGTAAAAGTTGCCAAACCAAAACCCAGCTATCTTAGCGAGCAGTGAATTAAAAAAATTTTTGAACAATACGAAAAAAACATTTCTTCTTGCAGTTTTCTAACTTGTTGTATTGTTGGCTGTGTATCTAAACCGCACAGCAACTTGGCTGTATAAACTTATAGTGGTTCAGAAGTGGAAGTTTAGAGATCTCTGAAGAAAGAATTATTTATATAAAGCTCAAATTTTTAAAAAAGGAATAATCAAAAATTAAAGTCATGGTCTAGTTTAAAATATAAATTAGGCCAAACTACAAAAAATTTACTCCAAATTGAAATCGGATTAAATGTAATATTAAATTAAATTTAAAATATATTTCTAAAATTATCTCTTTGATTAACAATGAATATTAAAAACTTTCCAAAAAGTAAAAATTGCAGTTTTGCGGAGTGTTACATAAAATGTAACAGTAAAAAGTAAAGCAATTTTTACGTTTTTAAAAAAAATTAACATGACTTAGATTTCGAATTTATATCTGTTACCTATTTTTCCACCAATCCTTCGCAAAAGTTTGGGAAACAAGTAATGGAAACAATATGGACGCGTCTCCAAATACTTTTACAGGGCTTCCTCCACTTCTGATTTTTCCCCATGAAACGA